TATATATATTTGATGAGGAATCTATTTATTTTAAAAATAAGTCTACCTAAATTTACTATTTTTAATAACATATATTCTACATCAAATTTTAACAATCCAACTATTAAATTTAAAATTCTTAATATATAAATCGTTACAAATTTTTTAAAAATTTAAAAATTATTTAATATTTCATCCCATTAATATAAATCTACATGCTTTTATATTTTCCCTCAATAATAATACGTGGACACTTCTAATTATCTTATTCCGATGCCTTGTCTTTTACGATATGAAAATATATGGGACAAAAGCTCTTCCTTTCCTTTTCATCCTAAAATTAAGGTAGGAGAATAGTATAAAAAAATATAAAAAATTTATTCAAACATTTTGGATGTTATATATATATATATATATATCATCCATATTTATATCCAGGATAACTCATAGAAAAAAACATATAATTGATATTTGTTAGTTCTATTTTTTTAAAAATAAGACTATAATTTATTATATAAAACTAAATAAACGTGTTCTTTTTATAATTTAAATAATTAAAAAAATTAAATTTCTAATATGAAATTACTATATTAGAGTTATAACCAGTGCATTAACAATTACTATTATTCTATAAACAAATATTGCATGTTAACAACTTCACCTTTAACTGAGTGGTCCTTGATGCCCTTCTCTAGTATTATTCCTTGCTCCACTCCTCGGCCATCGTTATAAATTAATCTACAAGCAACCAAGACAAGAGGGTCAGGAAATGACAGGATGAACATACATAAAAAAATAAAAAATAAAAAGTTATATGACGAAATTTTTTTATAATAAATTTTTTTATCTCTTTGCAACATATTAATGGTCTTATTTCATTTTTTTTCTCTTTTAATTTTTGTTTTTGTTCGACAATTGTTGTACAAATTTTATTTATAAAAGCAAATTGTCTTTGTAGAACTTGTACACAAACTTTTCATAAAATACATTTTTTGGTTGAATTGAAGCTGAAGTAATCATTAAAGTTTAAAACTGAAGATAAATTCGTGTAAAGTGCTCATCTGCATGGGCGTCCCAGCTATTACGAAGTGATGGGAGAAAGCGAAAGGCATTCTTTACTAAAGTCAAGAAGCTTATCCATATAGCCATATATAGAGTCCTTCTTAATTCACTTGTTTGAGATATATTTTTTTTGTTATTAATTATTAATCTGATTTTTTTATTTAAATTTAGTTTACTTTTGTTTAAGGTGACTAATTAACTTGTTATTTGACCAACGAAAACAAAATATAGGCATGTCTAAAAATCTGGATACTTGTAAAAAAAAACTAAAAAGAATCTCAAATATAATAATGAGTTTTTTTTTCGCACAGATTTTTCTTTTTATAGTGGGAAAAAAAATCTATATAGCGTAGGTGCAAATGTCTGTGAAACACAATTCATACATTTTTTTTTAATGGGATCTGTATTATGTTTGAAAGGTATTGAAGTTACTACCATGAAAATCAAACATTTAGCTCACATAAAGGTAGCGAGAGTAAATCTTTCGTAGTAGCTCAATTATTATTCCTAATTCTAGTTCGATGAATGTTTGTGTTAATTTTAGAGTTTAATAAATATATATACAAATTCTTTTATAACGTCAACTAAACAAAAATTAGTTTATGATATAAATTTTAAAACATCAATAATTAATAACTCATTATATATGTATTAGAGATTTTACATTGACTAATAATAAGATCAGCAAAATATATATAAGTGAAATGATAACTCTCACTTTACAAATTAATTTTGTTAGATTGAATTTATTCAAACTTACTTTCTAGGAAAATATTAAAGTCTATCTTCACAATATAGATATATATATAATTAAGTAAATAATTATGTTTCATTTGAAGATCTTAAGTATGTTATTCATCTCTTATTTATCATTTTTAATTATATAATAAAGAATTTTAAAAAATAATATATATGAGTGAAGATGCTAATTCAAAATTAGGATCATAAGAATAATAAATATAGTCATAAAGGTAGAATTAGAGTATAATAAATATGTGATTGCAAAAATAAGATTTATTAGAATATATTTGATAATATAGGATGGAAGGTGTACATAAAGGGGTGTAAATAACAAAAAGACATGTTTTTTTGTTCTAAACGAAGCCCAGAAGTGTGTACGAGTCCTTGATCAATGGTCACCAGTCAGCGGTAACTACACGGGCATTTGCTTCCTCTACTGTGTACTCACTTGCTTGATGCCCACCACTTGTGAGTTGTGACGAGAACTGCAAGCCCAAGTTCTTAAGGGGTTGGAGAAAGCAAGGCCCAATAGTAACTTTATGAATCAGCATGTTTAGGATTTACCGTATATTGGGATCCGTATTGCCGTAAGGAGGTTGCGAGGTTAATAAAATATGAAAAACGCGAGTTTAAAATCGAGTCATTTATTGAATTAAAAGAGAAGGTTCTTGGCACTTGGCAGTGGAGTAAACGACAAAACAGCGAGTGGGAACATTTTGCGTTTGGTGGAGATGCCTGTAAGTAGATTCAGGTGTTGTTAGGGTTTTCAATTTCGGATCTAACCGAATTGGGATCGTAATGTGGTGAATTGCGATGCAGATTAGGAACTTGGTAGAGGTGGAGCCACCAAGCCCACTCCGGTACTTGATCGGAGCCGCCGTCATGATGATCGGAGTCGTGTTACCCGTCGGTTACATGATGTTCCGTAACAAGCGCGGTCCCTCCTCTTCCGCCTACTCCAAACAGACGTAGGTGTGCCCTTTCTTTTTACAATTCCCTTTCATTTCGTCTTTTCCGATTCCTTCTAATGTCCACGTCGTTATTCAAATCATAAATGAGGGTTTCAAACTTTTTTTTTTTATTTGGGGTTGTCGAATTAGAGTTTGTAGATCCGAGTGTAGGAACATTTGGTGGGACTAATATTGATTGCTATTTCAGGAACAAGGTTTTGATTTGATATAGAGACATGGTGATGGTGGTGGTTGTGATGTGAGAAGCCTCTGGTTTAGTTTGGAGGGGGTGATTGATTAGCTTAGAGTTAGAGGCTTCGACAGATCTACCATTTGTTCAATTGTAAATGCATTTTGACATTCTAAATCTCTTAACTGCTTCTTCACTTGATTCTGAACTCTCCTCCTATTGAGATGCTCCTCGTGTTCAATATTGTGTAGCACAAAAAAATCTCTATATACGTGATTTGCATTTATTTGTTTGTTTATTTATTTATTTATTTTCCCTTTAAGCAAGAAGAAAGATCTGATTGTTGCTGCCCCAGCCTTGATTATTGGATTATTTGGTCTTGTTCCATGAGGATACTCAAGTGTTGTGAATTTATGTTGGTTTAGGTAGGAATTAGGAACTTGAAGTTGGGCAGTAATCTTTCAAATATATGAATCCTTTCGTAACTGGTTTTTACTTTTCGCTGGATTTCCATATACTAACTCCTGTTAGTTGGGTGTCTGTTAAGAAATGTTCGTAGCATTTTTAGTTTGATATGGCTAGTAATTATTTTTCATTAATTTAGAGAGACTGTTATAGCAGTGTATGGCATATTAACAAAAATAGTTGTGAGAATTTTTGTTGGATCGTGTTTTAATGGGTTATACTTCACCCATCTAAATTGATCAAATCATGCCCCGATAAGCTTATATATCGAGTGTTGGTGGAGAAACTGCAAAAGACATGAAAGTGGAAAGCAATGTAGCTCTTGGGTCTTGGCTTTTGTGGTGAAAATGGAGTACGTTTGCTCATAAAATGACTTTTAAGAGGTTTAAACCTTTTGTAATTAGCTCAATATTTTTATAAACATTTTTGTTTTTCAGCTTTAAGTTTAGAATATTTTAGATGTCTCTTCTAGAGAAACGACTAGTGCTCATGACGGAGTTCTGAAGCATGAACCCCCTCCAACCCAACCAAAAAATCTTGCTGTGTGCATATGGTCTCTATGAAGCATCGGTACGTTTTTGGTATGTTGGATAGTTCTTAGTTATCAGCATGAACCAAGTCAATATCGTTTTGAATAAAAAGTACGAAATTTTAGGCAGAAAGAGGTTGTGTAGAACGCATAAATCTCATATCTCGATTGACATTCGGATCGATGCACACCTTGTCCAAACAGATTAACACCAGTCATCAGTCTCAATTTTGTTAGAATGTGAATGTTAGGATAAGGTTTTTTTTTGGGAAGATCTTTCATTCAGCTGATCAATGCACCTGAGCCATCAGGGAAGAAGGCCCATCATCGGTTGAAAGACTTGCATTGGTTTTGTCATGTAATGTAATGTAATAGAAAAACTTCATTTTGGCGTCATAAATAAGAATAACCAATATAGAATGCAGCCTTCTGAATTTTAACTACGCAAGCAATAAAAGTGTTGACATACAGAACCTGGATGCTATGTAGTTCAAACTACTCGAATTTTCTATTACTCTAAATATAGATCAATTTAAATTAGTAATGAAGAGCCATATGCAAAAAGAAGAGGGGCTTGTCTCTGAAAAAAAAAATTTAACTTCTACTCCACTGATCAATAATCCCAAATATATTTGAAAGAACCTTTGGAGTCCATGCAGCCATCTGCTCTAACACCGTTATCTTCAATAAACAATAGCCATTAGAACCTAAAACTATCTAATAAAGGCGTAAATCAAATTTTGTCGTATACATTTTGTGGATTTCTGCCCTGGTAACTACTATATACCCTTTTCGAGCAGTCATTGAGAAGCATCAAAGCCTTAACAAACCAGACGGTTTGTACTTTGTAAAGAACAATGTTTCTGTAAGGGTTATTTTATGGTATTTGTCTGAGGGGATATTTTATGAGGGTTGTTTTATAAGTTTATTACACAAGCATACTCCACAATGATGAGATATTGTTCGTTTTGAGCTTAAACCCTCACGGTTTTACTTTTAATCATCACCCAAAAGGCCTCTCAATCATTGAAGTATGTTTATGCTATATAAGTTGTTATTTTTTATCATATTTTATCGATGTGGGACTTGTTTGTATTCCAACAATCCTCCCTCAAACAAGAGACCTAACCTGTTGTTATTTTTTATCATATTTTATCGATGTGGGACTTGTTTGTATCCCAACAATCCTCCCTCAAACAAGAGACCTAACATTTCATGCAGCAAAATCTGTCTTTATAGAGGGACTGCAGTAGAATCTGTCTTTATAGAGGGACTGCAGTAGAATCTGTCTTAGGATATTTTTACTTTTGGTCATCACCTAAAAGGCCTCTCAATCATAAAATATGTTTATTCTATATAAGTTGTTATTTTTTATCATATTTTATCGATGTGGGACTTGTTTGTATCCCAACAATTTGTTTCTTCGCATCTTCATATGGTGCCCAAATTTGACTCGAGCTCCTACAAATTCTTCATGACAAAATATTAATTAATTTTATTTGAAAGGATAAAATAAAGCTTTTACCTGACACAGTCAGTTTCAGACCATTTGCCCCCATTTACTTGTTAGTGAAATGTTTTTTTTTTCATATAGTTTCACTTACTTTATTTATTAATTTCTATAGTTTAAAGTAGATTTTTTAATTCTTATAATTATCTTTTTCAACATTATTTATTCCTAGTTTAAGATAGATTTTTTTAATCTCTATATATTGAAGTTATTAAATTCTTTTAGTCTCTATTGTTAACTTTTTTTTTTGTAATGTTTATTTTGTGTTAATATGATAAAGGTTTTCAATTTTGTGAAAGTAAAAAAGTGTTTCAATAATGAGTGTCACAAGTGAGGCTACAAAAGAGTTACAAAATGTTGAGAGATTTAATTTAAAAATCTAATTTAAAATAATTTTTGTATAATAAATTCGATATAAGGCACAATTAAATTAAAATACCACTGTTATCTTAACATTAAAAAAATTAATGAAAAATTATAAGTATATAAATTAAAAAGATTTATCTTAAGCAGAGTTAAAAAAAACTTATTTTAAATTATATGAACTAAAAATGATTAAAAAATATTAAAAAATATTTTAAATTATACAAACTAAACTAAAAAGTAAATTAAGTGAAATTATAAAGATTTAAAATGTATTTTAACTTATTTTTTAGCTGCCAGTTTTGTAAGATCTTAAGTTTATATATTCCAAATCAAATTTATTTCTTTTTTGCAATCCGGAGTAATTGTAAGCTTTTATCAATGAATTCTAATGACAGTAAAAATATCGATTATATCATATGCCTAGTGATTATTGGAATAAAATGGTAAAGCAAATGCAATGCCAACTCTATTGTCCATTTAAGATCTGTTTATTAATTTTAAAATTTTAGTGTCGTATAGCTATTTCCTTTTAATTATTGTTTATAATGTAATCAATATTATTGTGTATAGTGATTAGTTCCTAATATTTCTACCACATAATTTTTCAAAGAAAAATGGGTATTTACAATATATAACCATTTTACAATTTATTGAAAATGGGAAGAATAAAAAAGCATAATAAACAAGGAGAAGATAGTCTTGGCTATATGAAAAATAAATATATTTTTAACCCCTTTCACCCACTCTTGTTTAACTGTCCAATTATCCAACGGTGTTGTAAGTGTATCGATCAATATTTTTTAAAATTTAATTGGTTATTGAACTGGTTAAAGGCTTGTTTAACATTCAACGATTTTATCATAATCAAATCATTGTCTAATATCAAGTAATCAAAGTTATTTTTAATATATATTTAAGATTTTAAAAGTTTATATATTTTTTTAATTTTTATAAAATGAATGAGTTTTGATTTTGATCTTTATAAAATATTGTTTTTTGTTTTTATCTTTTAAAAATTTATTTTTGACCTTATAAAATGAATAAATCTTTATTTTATCTTTACAAAATATTTTTCTTTGATTTTTATCTTTTTAAAATTTAAAGTCATTATTATTAATTTTTCTAACTTTTATTTTTATGATAAATAAATCATATTTATTTTTAAAATTTATAAATTTTTATTTAAAATGTCACATATTGACATGATATTATAAATAAATGTCGATATTCTTGGAATGAACACTTAATTTCTTATAAACATAAAAGTAGTTAATAAATATCATATAATAATTAAGACCTAAAAATAATAATTTCAAAGTTTAGAGAATGAAAATAATATATATATATATATATATATGGACTAAAATCAAAATTTATTCATTTTGCATGATAAAACATATTTAAGTTTATTTTAGATAATAAAATAATATTAAATTATTAGAAATCAATATCTAAAAAATTCTAAATTAATATAAATATTAAATTATATATTTTATAGGATAAAATTTATGATTGAAAAAATAATTTATACTTGTGTGGAATCTTTATGTGTTTTTATTTATCTTTAAAATGTTTTGGATAAAAAAAGAAAAACTTGTCCAAACTGATTTTCTACATCAATTTGAGCCGATTTAAGTATTTAACATGTACTCATTGGTGAAAAAAAAACTGTTCTCGTTGATTTTGAAAAAAAAAAATTCTGAAGATTTGAAATGGTTTTTAAAACAATGATAAGGATTGATTTTGACCTTGTTCGTAATATTTTTAAATTATAAAACACGTATGTCATAGATTCTAATAATTAAAAAGAATATTTAAATTTCCATTAAATATTATTAATGTGCCACATTATTAATGTGCCACTTTATATGCGATAAAAGTGTAACATACAAATTATTTTCTCAATAACAAAAATAATGTGAAATAAGTGTTCTTGAATCCACTGTCAAGTGCAACGGCCAATGACGTTAGATAAAAATTTAATTTTCCTATGATAAATTGGTATCTACACATACAATATAACTTAATAATCACAATCAAAGTGAAATGTGAAACACAAAATGATAGTAAATAACGATCTTAATACATGGTGCAAAAAAAACGATCTTAATAAATTTTCATAAATAAATAAAAAATAGTTTATCCAAAGATTTTAATTTTCGTATAATGATTTTTTTAATACCGTTAATCAATTAAAAATTATATTAAATATAAATTTTTAATATTATCATAAAACCCAACAAATTTATGATAATATAACACTATTATAGTTATTATTATTTTCGAAAACAAATAAAACAAAAAAAGAAAACATAATCTAGTTTAAATGAAAAAAAAAAAGATGTGAACTGACATGGCTGATTTTGTCGGATAGGGAACAATGAATGGATGAAATATCCTCTATGACTCCAATTACATGATTTTTGACAAACCAAAGCAAACCCAAAAGTTGAAGAGGTGTTGTTAGATTAGATTAGAAGATTCAGCATTCAGAATCCATGGCAGGTGCTATTGTAAAGTACGGAATCATAGGAGTTGGAATGATGGGTAGAGAGCATCTACTGAATTTGTACCATCTTCGCACCGAAGGTGTGGCGGTAGTGGCTATTGCTGACCCTCATCTTCCCTCTCAACAACTCGCCCTTGACTTAGCACACTCCTTTAGTTGGCCTCTCAAGGTACTATGAATGAAAATAACCCTGTTTTCTTTTTTACTTTCATCATATAGCAAATTCATCTCTTGATATCTATATTATATTTTGTTATTATTTTGACTTGGATAGAGAAATGCTATGCTATTGATGAGGTTTCATTTGTAAACATCTAAGTTCTATCTGCAATTATCTGGGCAGTATTTGTATTTTGCTGATAGTTTGATTAAGCAGAAAATGCTACATGAAATCTGTTTAGGTAAATTTCTCCAAAAGTGCCTATAAAAGAAAAAAAAATATATGAAAGAAACCAAAATAAGTTTTTTCATAAGTTAAAATTAGCTTATCAATAAATTAAAAACAAGATTTTGGGAAAACTAATACAAGAGAGCTCTTCATAAATTAATTTATACATAAACTAATTTTACTTTATGGAGAAACTTATTTCATTTTTTTTTTCTCTATTTTCTATCCTAGAAGTGCTTTTGGAGAAATTTACTTAAACAGATCCCTAGTTAAGTGAGGCGAATGAATGACCTTGAGTTGAAAGTTGTGAAGGTTTTCTCAGGTCACCAGGAGCTGTTGGACAGTGGACTATGTGATGTTTTGGTGGTATCCACTCCTAACATGACCCATCATAGGATTCTTATGGATATAATCAATCATTCCAAACCCCATCATGTACTGGTAGAAAAGCCCTTGTGCACCACAGTTTCTCACTGCAAAGAGGTTTGTCATTCCTTCCATAAAATTTGTTGCTGCTTATTGGCTTAACTGTTAGAATGCAATTTTATATAAAGACTAATGACTAGTCTTCATAGAAAAGCCCTTGTGCTCTCCCTCGGGAAAGGGGATTTCAACTATACATGTGTCATTTCCTTAACTGTTATCATGTGACAGTTGAATATTTGTATTAGTTGTATGGCTTCATAAACAAGTAAAGCATGCTGCCAAAAATAGCATAAACTGTTTTTTGGTAAATGAGTATTGTTATGGGATGCCATACCATTAGGTGGGAGAGGGCATGAATGAGCTTTAGTAACTTGTAATCTTTCCACCGAAGTAGGAAAAGGAATAAATATAGTAACATTTTAATTCCTTGTTGCCATAGTAAATTGTAGAGAAGGAACATAGAATTTAATCAATTTATTTCATTGCCTTTACAAAAAGAGAGTAATTAACTGATTGTATTGTGTTTTTTCCCCGTTAGTTAAGTTAGGCTGTGGACTAAATGTGTTTTATTTTTTTATTTTTATTTTTGGAAAAATGCTAACTGAAAGTCTTGATCAGGTAGCAGGTGTTTAATTATGCTGTTTGACTTTGATCCTCCAATAAGTATTTGATGATGATGCAGTAAATTATTGTTCCTGTGTGTTACTTTGCATTAGGTTGTTCATGCTGCCAGAAAGAGACCAGATATATTGGTGCAAGTTGGACTGGAATATAGATACATGCCACCTGTTGCAAAGTTGATAGAAATAGTTAAGGGAGGAAACCTTGGACGTGTCAGGATGGTAGCAATTCGTGAGCATCGGTTTCCTTTTTTGGTTAAGGTTAGATTTTGCAGAAATTGAAATAACATCACGTTTTTAGGTTCTCATAGTCAGCAAGCTGAAAAGTGATATTGATCGTAGGTGAACAATTGGAATCGGTTCAATATTAACTCAGGGGGCACTCTGGTAGAGAAGTGTTGCCACTTCTTTGATCTAATGAGGCTGTTTGTTGGTGCAAATCCTGTTCGTGTGATGGCTTCTGGAGCTATTGATGTTAATCACAAGGATGAAATATATGATGGAAAGGTAGATTAGATTCTGCACATGAATTACAGTCACTCTATGACCAAGCGTTAAACATTAATCCTACTGTTAGTCTGTATGCTGCTTTGATTAATACTGATTATAATCTCTGTATAATGTTCATCAATCCCAAAAAGGGATTGTGCAGAGTTTGGTTTCACTTGTTCAATACTAACGCATAATCCCTTGAACCAATAAGCATATCAAACCAAATAGTGTTACCAATGTATAAAAGAGTAACCTGTTATAACACTAGGTACAAGTCTTGTTGAATAATGAATGTAATAATCATGATGAACCATCAAATTAAAATCTCAACGTGTTTTAGGAAAAAAAATAATATATATATATA